AACTTTGCAAATGTTTTAAGACCCTCCAAATACACATCTGACCATTTATTATAACCATTTAAATAATGTTTCACATTTTGTGTTCAGGTAATTTTAGACCCAGCCTACCATTAGATGTCAACAATACTTTTGTTAAATTATCCTTGTTATAAAACCTGTGTAAATAGTTTAGAAGAATACAACATGTTTAAACCCTTAAAATGAATAACATTTCTGCAATCGTTTAACCATTACTTATCATGTAATATTTACGTTGTTTGCTGTGGGACACAAAAGGTGTTTTCTCCCATGCTGTGACTGACCACAGAAACATAAAATTACACCACGACTATAAAAATATCTTTTTAATGCTATATTGTTACTAAAATGGTAATTTCCCTGCATATTTAGGTCAATTATGTTTTATATCTTTTTATATTCGCTATAAAGTGGATAGGTTTAGGTTTGGGGGTATAGGTTAAATGGTCTCAAAAACGAAACCGCGTACCGATAAAATGATACAAATGCATTGATACAAATATCTTAATGATATAAAAGATTCGTTAATATTTAACGTTTTTTAGCTGTGAATACATAGCAATTTTACGTTTTGAACATTGTAATACGTCCAAACTGTACGTTTCAGCATCAATCAAAATGAACAAAAATGTTTGTTTTGTGCTTGTAAACATTACGTACTAATACCTATGCATAAACAATGAGACCAGGCTGCTCACACACTTTTGGGACTGAATTTTGTGAATAAACATGAACATTTACACCTTCTGACGAACATTTGCAGCCTGAAAAATTGATCATATTTTTCGTGTAAGACTAAGAGTGAAAGTTTATGCAAGTAAAATTAATTTATTTTATTTGAAAAATAAAACAGTAAGGTTAATGCTGTTTTGAAGTTATTTTATTAGAAATAAATATGTAGGTTTCATCAATTTTGACCTTTTTTGAGCAGTCATGAGTTAAAAATTTAATTCCAACAGGAGTAATACTGGTAATTCTCAGAATATATCTATCTTGTAAAATTCATACAATTATATATTCAAACAAGATTTCTCATCAATATTGAAAAAAATATATAGCCTATTTTGCATCATTTCTTTTTGGTGTGGTTCATGTCATTTTAAATTTCAAAGAATTTCTCAATTTAAAAAAAAAAATCAAAAAGGGGTAAATGCAGTAATAACAAGGTAATAACATTCAAAACTTTGGATTTTTTTTTTACATTCACTCATTAATTAGAAGTTGCAGATCAGATACAATATGGATTTAGTTAGTTAGGAAAAGTTTTGTAAAACAATGATTCTTCAAGTCCAAATGGACCGTGAATGTGAAAATCATATACAGATTTTGAATGCATTATGAGGGTTAAACAAAAAGATCCCATTGTGACAACTTGCCCCATATGAAGTGACAACATGCTCCAGCATATTAAAAGAAATGCATCTATTTTCTGGGTGACAACAGTGAAAATGTTCAATAGCATGTTCAAAACAGTGGAAATGTTCAATGAAATGTTCAATAGAGAGCACCAGGGGCTGCTGTGTGTAGCTCTCACATTGTTTTCATCTTTATATTTTCAAAGTATGAGAAAGACTTTAACCATCATTTAGATGGAAGTGACACAAGCGGTGACGTGTGTCCATCACACACATATCTCCAGTCACACCTAAAGCTTCCATAGGAACCGTTAATTCATTTAACAGCTTCGTTATACACTTCACATAATTAAGCACAAGTTCAGCTTGATAAGCCTGAAGTATTTCATGTAGTCATGAAATAAACTAAACCAAGCATGTAGTCAGCGCCGTGGTGAAATTCAGCTCTTGCTAGCAGTGGTTCTTTTACACATTAAAGCAGTCTTCATTTCAAAGAGCTGCTTAATTATTTCATGTGACAAGGGGGGGTGTTAAAATCATAACTCCATCAATTATAGATTTGATCATTTACGGGCGAGGTTAACTATGCAGTGATGTGTGTTGAGAGAGAGGCTTTTAAAATAAAACTGGGTTAAATTTAACAGCTCACTGTTGAGAGCAATGAACAGTGACGAGTGCGCTCAATGACTGCTGCTGCTGCTGCTAAATTCAACAATACTTACTTTACAGTTCTTTTCTTCAGAGACAATGATATCATAATGCAAAGCACACTGTAACCCTTTAAAGCACATAATAACACACATATACTAGGCTTAGTAATCAGTGTCACATACTGATACTGTAACGTACATATGTGTAATTCATGCTGTCATTAGCATTCTAGAGACACCAGAAGACACAAGGAAATGTCAGAGTTTAAAGGGCCTCGTGTAGACCAACAGAGTATTCAGATTCAGGTATTGCATTTATTTGTTCATTTATACAGAAAAAAAGGTTGCAATAATATATTTAATAATTTTGGGGTCCTTCTCATTACCCTTTTTTTAGTATTGATATGCAGAAAAAAACAATACTGTAAATGTCTTTGTGTTATATATATATATATATATATATATATTGTATGTGTGTGTGTGTGTGTGTGTGTGTGTGTGTGTGTGTCAGACTGTGTGTGTGTGTGTTTGTGTCAGATTTGTCAAACTAAATTGTATATATATATGTATATATTAAAGGGCCTTGTGTAGACCAACAGAGTATTCAAATTCAGGTATTGCATTTATTTGTTCATTTATACAGAAAAAAAGGTTGCAATAATATATTTAATCATTTTGGAGTCCTTGTCATTACCCTTTTTTTAGTATTGATATGCAGAAAAAACAATACTGTAAATGTCTTTGTGTTATATATATATATATATATATATATTGTATGTGTGTGTGTGTCAGATTGTGTGTGTGTGTCAGACTTAGACTGAGATTAGTTAGTGTAGATTTAAGCATAGAGCAGTCAAAAAATGAAATTATTATCTGGACTTAATTTTATTCAGAAATGTTTTTATGCAAAGTTGAATGTATTTAATTCAAATTAAGTCATGGGTCAACACACTTTAGTTGAATTAGTTCAAATTAATGTATGTTTAAATTAGGTTTGT